CAGGAAGAGCCGGACGTGTCATCAGTTGACGTGTCTTCGGAGTATACGTATAACCGGATGGCAGTGTGTTGGCTTTGAAACTGAACCCCGCAAGACGGTCAGCATCTAACTCTCAAGACAAAGTGCAGGGGGAATAACCTGGAAGTAGTCAACGCATCAAACACACTAACAAAAGACCAAATCATTGAAAAACTAGTTGCATTAAATGCACATGCACAGGTACCGATAGCGCAAATACTGTAGCTCCTTCCGACTTAGCAGATATAGGTTTTCAGCACCGGCAAATATCTCAAAAGCTAACAGCATATACATGCCACAATTGTAGCTATCAACCTGCACTCCAAGCTCGCTCGTGTATGGTCGAATTCGGTATTTTCTTGTAGCGAAATCTGGCAGCAATGCTACCATCTTCTCAGCGAGAGGTCGAACTTTTACGCCGTAGCTTGAGCTCATTGGATCATAGATAAAAACTTCTTTAAGCGACAGATCCATCATAACCGCACACCAGTGATTCTTGTTGCAGATGACAGGAATCAAAATCTTTTGGTTTGTCATGCCAGCAAACACGTCCTTCATAGTCTCCACCGCTAAGAAACCATTCATGACGTTACCGGCGATTGACGTGTCTACAGCAATCGTGTCTTCTCTCGCTGCGAACAACTTTAACATCAGCTTATTGACCGTGCTGTCGCCTAACGCAGACTTGCCGACGAGTTCGAGTGCTTCAGCCTATGTGCAATTACACAGCAGTAGATATTAGTATTTCCATTGCGGGGCCTGACTGTATGCAACTGCGTACCTGCACCGATAGTAAAGGAATAGATTTGATCTTGGATTGTGTATCAGGATCAAGATCAACACAAAACCATCGGGGCATTTGGAGTTCGAAATCGATGGTATCAATCCAAACGATAGCTTTTTCCACATATTGGATGGTTTTCATCGCTTTGTGCCACTTCTTCATGACACCCAGCGCCTCGGTGGAGTAGGTACCTACTCCAACAATTTCCACGACAATGTCCTTCTCACCTAGATTTTGATCACTTGATTCCTTGTGTGCCTTCTGAAGAGCTAGCACTTTGGCACTGCATCTATCAAGGATATCCTTTCGGAAAATTCGGGGGATGGACTCAGCAGAGACGATCTTTTTTGAGGCGGGAAGTCTTGCTACCTTGTGGGCAACTGGAGCTCGGGGATTTTTTGTGAAATCGAACAGCTTAAATCTGGACACAATTGCGGCAGATGTCTCGTATGTTGACTCAATGCGTACGGCGTCTTGTATGGTTGCTAAACTCAGATTATCCGAGTACAAATTTGAATCATCTTGCACCATCAAAACATTTTTGCGGCGAGCTGCTTTCTTGGATTTTGCACTTTGCTTTGGGCGACCTCGGGACCTTGGAGGGCTCGCCACATCAAATGTATCATTTCCGACCGGTTGCAGAGTCGCATGAGAAGCTGAAGTCTCCACACCAGTCTGACAAATAAGCTCGGCCGACACCGAACCAGACTCTCCAGACTGGATGCCAGACTCTTCAGACTGGATGCCAGACTCAACAGACTGGGTGCCAGACTCGCCAGACTGGATGCCAGACTCAACAGACTGGGTGCCAGACTCGCCAGACTGGGTGCCAGACTCGCCAGACTGGGTGCCAGACTCGCCAGACTGGGTGCCAGACTCGCCAGACTGAGGTGTAATCTGCGTAGAAGGCTGTGATAATTCAGGGTCTTCCACTTCAACCTCGCCCACGGTATCTGAGTCGAAGACATCGTCGCGCGTACCTTCACTGATTGTCGGCATCTTAATCGATGAAGAAAAATCTCCAACCTTGAAACGGTGGGCGACGGCCTTTAAATAAGTCATTGCTTCACGATATTGGACCATGCCTAAACCAGCCATCGAATCGCAAATTTCACTAGCAATAGGCAAGGCCTCTCGGTACTTCCGGTTCGAATCCCATGGCCGCTCATCGGTCACCAATACCCTTCGAACGGCAAAAGATTCCACAGTAGTAGGAGCATCACTGGCGTTTTCGAACTCTATCAACGACCGTACAGACGACAGGACCCATCGCTGATGCACCAGTTGAGTCGGGATAACAGTCTCCTTGTTTAGTGCTCTTCTAAGAAAGAAGACGTGTCGACACGGCAATAAACGTGTACTCATAAAGAGACACGAGCAAGTCCAGTCGTGAGTCGTAATAGTGTACTCTGCGTCTACCTCATCGAGGGCGTCTTCATCGGGGGATGTACTCTTCACAAAGTACACACCTGGCGCTCTCTCGGAAAAGGCGTAAGATGCACGATCAAGTGCGTAGCAATACTGATCGTGTATTAACTCGCATGCATGTTCACTGACGAGATTTGCAACCAACGTCATTTCGCGATCGTAACCAACATGCTGGACATTAACCTTCTTGTACACCTCATCCATAAATCGTCGCTCTTGAAGACTCTGGTAATACATAATCGACGCTATGCATTCGTCCACTGCCATAAAAGAGTTTACCCACTCCTTCAACTGCTTCCACGAGGCCTCCAACCTGTTGTTGGTGTTATTGCCAAGCGTCACGGTGTTTTGGCGCTTGTGTGCACACCACAGCTCGCGACATTTGTCCCAATTCTTAATGAAATAGGCGACAAAAGGGTGTCGGACGGATTCAAACGGTTCCACTATTGTGTTCGTAGTTTCACAGCGTTCAGACTCGGATGTGGTATGATTCCGCGCTTCTGTCGCCACATTCTGCCCGACCGCCACAATATTCTGCCCAACTGGTGCCAGATTCTGCCCAACTGGTGCCAGATTCTGCCCAACTGGATCTGAAGTCAATTGCCCAGATCGGGGGCGCCCCATTCCGCACACGTGCAACATGTACCGAAAGTGCTTCATATACTCTTTCTCGGTCTTCGCATATACAAGCAGGTTCATCAGACCTCGTAGCTGATCCTTTTCCCACGTGTTACAACCGTAGTCTGCTGACGCGATTTCCTCCCGCAAATACTTTAAGACGTGAAATTGGCAGAGCAGGGTAGTGACGTCAGGGAAAGCAGTCTTCAGTACCGATAGTTCCGTGAAGTCCTTGTCGATCAACACGCAGCGTAGTTTTGTCCAAGCCGGATTGTTACTCTTAAATTCTTCAAGCGCCGTCAGTAATGTCGGCCATCGCTCGTTCTGTAGTAACGCGTGCTGCACAAATTGGCCTTTTCCAAAGGTATCGTGAGCCATAAAAGAGAAAACTTTGTACTTTGAACGGTTTGTTCCGTGCGTCGCGTCAATGAGAAGAACTTCCGGAAATTGTTTGTAGACCGATCGCATGTGTTTAGTCTGTAATGTAATACATGTTGCAATTTTCTAATACAAAGAACATGTTAGATGTAATGAATATAATGTATTTGATTCACTAAATACACATACCTTTTCCCCGACATCGTCTACGAATATACGACCCACATTCCCGACATTATCTCCAAACTCGGCCATCCACTTCTTCAATCGTTTTGCGCTCGAACTTGGGCCGTTTCTGTTTTCACGAGCTTTCAGCTTGCTCACGAGGTTGTGAACATCCTGTGGCTTTGGATTACTATCTGAATTGTCTCTGATAAACTTCAGAATACTGGTCTTCTTTGCTCCAGCCTTTCGAAGCTCATTCACCGTCCGTAAGGCACTGTCACGAGAGTAATCCGGTTGGAAGGATGACTCTTGAATGCATACTCGTTCAGTGAGTGATTGTGCTCGAGCCGGCACTTCGTCACTTTGAGCACAAACGTGTGTTCAGCTTTGTTAATCTCTTGAACGCATACATTCAGCTGAAATAATAGTAACAAAGTTAATGCAAACAGACACGGTTAGTGGCTGAGCTTACACCGGTGATGCACGATTCATCCCAACTGAGCCCGATTATGCCAGTATATGGGTTTATTTCGCTACAAACCAAAACTATAGTAATCGCATACCTGTGCTGAGCATCCTTGGGCCCGTGTCTCCTGACGCGGCCGCTTGCTTGTGGCTTGCGATCGGTATGTGCCGTGGTGTGTACACACGTACGTCTTCGCGTACTGATCCCACTCGGCCGGGATTTTAGTCGCCGCGGAGCCCTGAGCATCTATCCTAGCATTCCGTACAGCCACTGAAGTGTTTGTTCTCACTCGAAATATCTAGCAGACAAACAAAACGTGATGAGACGGTATAGACAAACGCAACAGATAACTTAATAATGTACCTGGAGTGACTGCGCTTGGTACAGCGCTAGATAGGCCTCGAAGTCCTTCCACGACTGAAATTGTGTCTCTTGTGGTGGCGAGGCGAGGATAGAAATCTGACCCGATTCTTCACTTGCGCTACTGGTTACCGCCTCCGCCTCAGCAGAAGTCGGGCTCGACACTGGCTGCCAGTCACTCACGGAGCCGTCGGAGTCGTTGCTGGCGCTGTCGCTGTCGATACCCTCCAGTGCCAGGGGGCGCTTCTGTGCGCTGCGTGGCCGTGGTGCCATTTTCGTGCGTTTGGAGCCACGCGTTTGCTGGAGGGGGAGGATTTTTTGTGTGGGAGGGGTATACGCAGAGTATACGCTGTACCGAGTTCGGATATGGAAGATATCAGCAAATCCTAGCAAATCCGAAGATAACACAAGATTTGCTACGAGTGGGATGCTCCCAGTCTGGCAAAATACTCACTTCCTATATCTAAAACAATTTAGGAAAATATGAGGAGAAGCAAGGCGTGTATAGTATATACTGGTTTTGCTCTTATTGCGTCCAACAACTTGTCTAGCACGGAGTACATGTATGTAGGTTAGGCGAAAAACGTAATACATTACATTACCTTATACAGTAGTATACCGCCTGTTTATCCCTTCTTGATGCAATGCGTGCTACCGGTAATACAGTACCATCATACATCGATAAATACATTAGGGGGGGGGAAGCGCACGGGGTAGATGATAAGTGTCGCGCTCTGTATCGACGTACTTCCTCGCAACGATCCAACGTTCATACGTCAATGCTCACGCCGCCTTCGCCAGTGTTGCGGTGCGCGGCGGAGCAAAGTGCAGCACGTCGATTGTGATGTCGTCGTGGAAGTCTCGCCGCTTCCCCGGCAGCACGTTTTCCAGATCATCCGCTGTCGTGCCGTAAATATCTGCGATGCGTTCCAGCACCGTTTCGCGCAGCGCCTGGCTTACATTCTGCACGCCCTGGTCCCGGAACAAATCAACAAGCTGCACAATCTCCTCGTTCTTCAGCTCGCCAAAGAGGCCATCCGACCCAAGAACAACGAACTCAGGCTTTCGATCTTGAAGGTCGACTTGAAAAATGTCAGGGACAGCTGAAGATACCCGGTCAGTAAATTACTTTTGTTTTTATTAGAGTTGCAACAATGTCAGTGTACTGACCGGAAATGTAGGGTCGACGAAAGCTGCCACGGATTCGCAGACCGCGCGGCATGGGGTAACGGTTCACATCCTTCACCTTCATATAGGTATCTCCAATAGAGCGAGTGGGCTGAAGTCGACCTTTGACGTAGAAGTTGTTATGTCCAATCTCGCACACAATGTCGTAGTCCTCTGGGTACAACACACGAAGACGCCGCTGTTCTCGTTCCTCGTTTGCTGAATGGTCAAATGTAATCTGTTCAACGCTGAGGGATCCGTCGGATTCGCGATACGCCATGATGGCACGGCAATCGCCGCAGCTTGCAACGTACAACTTCTTCTCAATGACTAGCGCCATCACTGCGCACGCACCTACCGAGCACGACGACCAAGAGCCCTGTTCGAACTTGATCTGGCTCCGGCGTTTGAACTCCTCCTCCGTGTCCTTAAAACCCATAATGATGGAGTGCACCACGGGCTCGTCATTTCCAGTTAAATGAGAGCGGATGTTACTGTAAAGTTTCTTTTGAACATAATCGACCGCCTCTTCGCCGCCGTGCCCGTCATAACACCCGCAAAAGAATACGGGAGTCTCTGTGCATCTGCCTGGACGCACAATCGAATCCAGCACGTACTGCGACCTGTCTTCATTCTTGCAGTTTGCTGCATAGCTGTCCATATCGTAGCGCCAAAATAGAGCAGTTCCCCTGCTTGGAAGAACTTCCGAGACCTGTGACGGCACAGACGTGACGGGGATCTCCTCAAATGGGATCTCGTCGAGTTTCAATTTTTCCTTTGTCCACTTCGGTTGAATCATGGCGAACAAAGCAATGAGCATAGCGCTCCATGACGACTCTTGTGGCTGCGGCTTGTCTGATCGGTCCGCCGACAGCTCCAGCGACGCGCCGCTTGTGATAGCCTCCTTCGCGGTGGCCAAGGTCATCACGGTTTCCGCGGGATGGGGTAATTGGCGCGACATCAGGGTCGCCGTGGCGTTCGTGCTGTCTTCGCTCGTAGAAACTGTCGCAGCGGCTACTGCAGCCACAGCTACCGCAGACGACGTGGGGTCGGGGGCAGTATTTGCCGAGTGGACAACCGTATTCTTAGCGAGTGACCCCGTGGAGCGGGACTGCTTAGCGAGCGCCACGACGGCACTGGTAGTGGTGGGTGCGGTCAATATTCTGCTGGGGATAGGAGTGCGATATATCTTGGTATGCGGCTGCTGTTGAAGCTGGCGCTGTTGCCGCCGTGCCAGAGCTCGTTGTGCGCTGCGATACCAAAGCAGCGAGCGGTGTCGACGGGGGAAACTGAGCAAAGACATCTCCCACTGCGACGTATTTAATTATTCAAAGTCGGAAGAGCGCAATCTTGGCGGCGAGTTCCAGAAGACCAGTGTTGCGGAAACGCGGGGAGTGGGACTTGATATTCGTTATGAAAGGACGCCTTGCCTGAAAAATGAAAGAGTCGGCACTTAAAAACGCGGACTATGCGGAAACACAGGTCTCCAACTGTTTTTATTCCGCAGCTTTTATTAATACATGTATGGCATCGCTCTGATGTTGAAGTTTCCTCTTAGAAAGTATCAATTTAATATTCAACCAATTACAGCTCGCCTTTTACGAAGGCGTTCAACATGCGCCTCAAGCAGCGATAAATGTTGCAACGGCCTTGGGTTTCGACTGCGATCGCGTTGGAGGTGCTTCTTCCGACGACTTCGCGCTATTTAGTCGAGTCTTCCTACCCGCAAGTCGAGCGGGCTGCGTGCTAAAACTACTAAAAGTCTCGCCCGCCGCCTTCCGGGCCGCCTTGCGCTCCTTCGCCTTCTTCTGCTTAATCTGCTTGCTCTGACTGTCGCCATCAATAACACTCGCAACCGCACCGGAAGTCCCTCCACCGGCACGGACCGCTTTTCGTCCCCTTCTGTTACCTCCCGTAGCATCCGACCGCTTGCTACGACCTACATCACCAAACGGTGAGGCCGCGGTCTCTCGAGCCTTAGCCGCTTGCTTCCGTTCGATGTCCGCCAGTATCTGGCGCTGCTGCTCCAGAAACTCGTGTTCCTCTTGCATCTTCTGTACATCGGCCAGTGAGATGTGATCCGGAGGTCGGAACAGACCCCAGCTATTTACCGTCGAGTGTGGTCGCTGAGCGGGTGCAAAACCAACACCTAGACGCGCCTTTGCCTCGCGCTCTCGAGCTGCTGCGGCCTCTTCCTCCTCCTGGATTTCCTTCAGCGTCTTCGGCTGAAGTTTTTGCTCGGCCGTTGAGCTTGTCGACGTATTGCTCCAGGCTGAGCGCTTTCCGCGAGTTCCCCGACGCGCCGGTTTCAAGAATGCATCAAGTGAAAACGCCGTCACCTGTTCATGCTCGACACCGTCATAACCCAGCATGTGTTTTCCAGATACCGGGAGCGGTGTGAAGGAGAGTAGTGGGCTTGTGGATGGGTGGCTACCGATGCTTGCCTTGCGCTGTCCTGGATCATTGCCATACAGACTAACTTTGCGAAGCGAAGACTTTGGTAAGCGGAATGCATGCGGCGCGAGTGGGGTGGGGTTAGATGCTGGTGATGCAGAAGCCACGCGTTTGATCTGGGCCACCGAAGACTTCTTTTCTTCCACGAAAGCGGAGGTGGCAGATAAGGTCCACGGGCAACTGGCATCACCATGCTTGGGCGCTACCGCAGTCATGTTGGTAAAAAAAGACGTCAGAGGCACAAACTTGCTGTTTCGGCTCGTGCGTCGTCCTTTGGGCTTGCTAGGTGCCGCGGACGACTTAACAGGCGCACCCTCCAAACTGGTCGTCGCCAATAGATCTTCATCTGCTGCATATGACACTTTCTGAGTGGCAGATTCCGGTGGAATGGACCCTTTTTTACTGGTGCACTTGTTTGCGTGCTTGGTAGTTTTCCCTTCCTTGGTAGGCTTCTTGGTCACTTCACCCGGGAGTATAGCACTTGCTTTATCTTCTAATTCCACCTCAATTGGTGGCAGCATAATCTCAAAGAGTGTATCCATACGATCTCGCCCAACCGCATCCAGCACTGCGTCCCAGTTGTATCGCATATACTCAACGCAGTAGCTCTGTAATCGACGCGCAGCGTAGCGCTCAGCAAACTGCCACACCAATGCGCAGTTAATCACGTCCACATGTGCTGCGATCTTGCGCTCCACTAGCTCCACTAAAGTGGGGACCATATCCTCAGCAGCAATTTTGGCTACATCTTTGAAATCTGGGTGCACGGGTGCCACAAGAACTGCCGTGTGCTGATGCCCCGCTGCCACTGCTACGGCTTTCTTGACACCTGCAACGCGCTTTGGACTCGGCTGCCATGTGTTCCCACGCCCGTGCCCCAGTACACCTTGTTGTCCACAGCCCCACGTCACGAGATCACCCTGCTGGGTGACGACAGCGCAATGATCCTGAGAAGCACACACACTTGCCACGGGACCGTAAGTGCCTAACAGCACCTTTTGCGGCGCACTGGGCGACGGCACAGGTGGCACTTTGTCCCCGAACAAGCTAGCATTTCTATCTTGTGAGCTACTGCTCGGTTGGTGTGAGAGGGCTGGTACATTGTGCCCCCAAGTGAACACAGAGCCGCTAGCACTTAATGCGATGGAGTGATTCTGGGCGCATGAAACCTCCACAATATCCACAGCACGCTGCTTACACGTGGGTATCCATGTATCGCACATGACGGCACCAGCAACGCTGGTCGAAGCGCTTCGACCAGACGGTAAATTCACGCGGCTCGGACGGTAGGAGCCGTAGCCAAACTGCCATATCTGACCGAGACTGCGGCCATTGTGAGCGCAGCGTAGCACCACACAAGTGTGCCAATCCGAAAGTGCTAGCTTTTCTGCTCGCACAAAATCGTAGGCGCCGTACACGACGCACATGGGATGTCGGGGGCGTAGCGCATCGACACATTGAGGAGTAGCGTCTGCCTGATCTGTGCCGCAGCCTTCTTTACGCCCAAGTTGCCCCCGACGATTGCTACCCCAAGTGTACACAGCACCATCGTCGGCATCAATTGCAGCAGAATGACACCCTGACGCTGCAATATCTGCCACAAGGTGGAAGCGGAAAGCGTCAATACGCTTTGGTGTAAGGCGGCTCTGTGACGAACTTGATTTTCCCCGGTGTCCAAGCTGGCCGAAGCTGTTGGATCCCCAGGAGAAAACCTGGCCGGTTCGAGAGAGTGCCATGGTATGATTCTCACCCGCAACCACTTTCTTCATAGGTGTGGTCTCTAGTGATTCTAGTCGTGTAGGCTCGACGCAGCTGCCAACAAATTAAGACCAGAGGACATTTGTCAGTGATCACGTGTTGAGCTTTCTTCTAACAGCATACTTACTCAAATTCGCTTCCGGTGCCAAGGCGGCCACCTTTGCCGAAGCCCCACACGAAGCACTCGCCCGCTGCATTGAGAGCAATCGTGTGATACTTGCTGGCACTTAGTTGAACAATTGGTGAGTTAGTGGGGAGCTCCACTAGCCGCGGTGTAATCTGCACATCTGCATTTGGCAGGTGATACCCCAGCTGAAGGTCCCACAACCACAGATACAACAGCGGTCAGAATCTCGCAACATCATGGACAAGACAAAGAGCTCGGGCAGCAGCACCTGGTAGTCTCGCTTTCCGAACGTGTAGATGAGGCCTCCGTCACACGCTCCCTGGGAGTTTCGATGGTGCTGTAGTCTCGTGGACAACAGCTGCATGGGACTCTGTTGGGAGTGATCCCGTGTCTCGTGCAACAACTTCCGCAAGAATTTTTTGCCGAAGCGTGTCTGGGCATGGCGCAGAAGCAGTAGTGATGCTTCAAACAGAGAGCAACCAGTCAGCACAGCGTTAGCCTCAAAAGCTATAGCTGCGTGCACACTCACTGGATAAATGCTGGTGGTACAAGCTGCGGTGCAACGGCGTCCATCCAGACTCCTACTCGGCAATATCCGACCCATCAAATCAGGTCAGTTAGGCACCTCCTCGACGTAAGAAGAGCTCTCTACGCACCCAGTCTGCAGCCAGCATATTTGCTTCGTAGCGAAGAAGCAGCAACACTGCTTCGTCGTTTCCGTGTGCTGCCGCCACATGCAGTGCTGTCTCGCCAAAATTGTTGCGGTCGTCGGGGGGCACCGTGTCTTGCAGCAAACGCGCCAGAGCGGGCGCCGCTTCGGGCGACCTCGCGCAGGCCCACAGGTCCAGCACATTGGCGTGGATTGAAGGCTGCATGCTTGGGTTGTTGTACAATTTGGTGGTGCTCATTTCTGGGTAGGCGATCTTTTCTCTCTCTCCTCTACCTTTTGCAGCCTTTAGACGGTCATCGCGGATTTCTGCCACTGAGTGAGATGACCAACACGCAAGTCGGTCGTCAAGACACAATAGTTTGTAGGGGACTGTGTGGTACAGTACTGTCTATGTTGAAGTTAGCTACGTTGCTTGCTTTTTTTGTTAAACATTGTCTATTTTTGCTGCTTTACCCTGGCATGGCACACGCGATATGGTCCTCGGCGCTCAAGTTTGCGCGGGCAAGCGACGGCGACGGGCCAGAAGCAGGAGGAGAGGAAGACCCACCCTCCTTCGCTCAGGCAAACAGCTTGTCTCCAAGACCGTCCCGGACTCTTGACCCACCACGATTGGAGCGCGCCGTAATTTCGCGCACTCGGTTCCAAATCACACTACCGACTACATCACCGCCACTAGGTGCAGACAAAACGTCCTTGGCAAGCGAAATAGACCAGAACGGCTGGAGCAGTCCTCACGGTGAGCCATACCGCCCTCTGGGTCGCCCCGAACTCAACCTCAAGTTTTCGCCACGACTTGTGTACGGTGTCAGCCACACGCAGCAGAACTCTCACCGCATCCACGTGATCGAAGGAGGAGGGAGCTCCAATATTGGTGTCCATGGGGCAGTAGACAGCTCCGAGAAGGCTATAGAAAAGCGGGAGGCTTCATCCACCAGCAGCTCAGGGGCATCCATGGTGACTCTCGTGGACCACTTCGTAGCTTCGCTGGCATGCCGTAAGCGACCCCCGGATGAACGGCAAGTCAAACTCGCGCGTCGTCTTCAAGCAAACATGGATGGGTTTTCGTCTGATAGAATTCGCAGGCTTTATCGATACAAACCGTTTGTACAAGGGCTCGCAGGAGATAAGCCACAACATTGTCATCATTATCTGCGCGGGGATACATCTCTTCGGAAACTACGAGAAGCTATCGACGGGGGAACGAACCGGCTGAGATCGATACGCAACGGCGCAAACTTTTTACATTGCCCTCCATCTGAACATCGCGGTCTCCACGAGCTCCATGAGCACTATCTTCACGCAAGAACAACAGTACCACATCCATTGACGAGCTGTGGGAGCAGCAATGTACGTTTAGGAACTAGAACCAGTCCTGGAATGCCCCTTGGATCTAAAACGCCCAGTGATGAGACCTCTATGTGTCATACTGAAGACGACGATGGCCAAGCCACTTGGTATCTTCCGTACACGACAAGGCAACTACAGCGCTCCCCACATTGCCACCTCCCTTCTCTTCAAGGGTTCCGGGTTCGGATACGAGAGGAAGAGGAACCTTTAAAACCACTGCGAGCTTCCAGCAACGCAATGGCACAATCGTTTTCACGCAGACTTAGAGTGAGTGGGGCTGGGGTGCGATCTAATCGTGCATCCGTGTCATCATCTCGACATTCCATGGCCCCTAACAATGGGCCGCTCAACACCGTCAAAGGAGACAGTTGTGACGAAATGCTCGAACCCAAGGCACCAGCTCTCTCCAAAGGCACACCCTCTCCGTTTTTCATGACAATAGCATCGCCGTCACTGACACCTCCAGCGTCACACCTTCACAGCATCGAGAAACTGCAAGCGGCTGTGGACTCTCTGGGGGCTACCAAATGCCAGCAATCAGCACGGTTGGCTGCTACGTTAGAAATACTCGCGCAAGATCGATGCGAGTGTCTTACTGGCAAGTTCCGTAGTCTACACGTGCGTTCTGATGCTGCTGAGGACCTAAAACGAATGCGCGAGGACGCTGAACGTGATCGTGATCAGCGAATGCTTGAAGTACTGACTAAAACATCAGTATGGTATTCAGATTTGATACGCCGCCTGCTAGCTCGAGAAGGAACACCAAACGTTAACAGTGGAGTACAATTGACGCATCTCCATGCCGCCGAGCTGTTCATCGTCCAAGCAGTGCGGATCTTCACCGATAATGGTTGTGAATTTCAGTCGGCTCAACTATTTGAGGTCCTTTTGTACTTGGATCATGACGACTTGAAACTACCCCAAGTGCAGCAGCTCCTCGAGTTCCTTCGCAATGCATTGCATATTAACTATGAAGAATGGGCACAATTCTTTGCCGGGCACCATCTCCCAGAACCCACTAACAAACTTGCCGATGATCGTAAGGACTCACAAGGCTTTGCCGATGGAAAGCCATGTTTCACGACAGCAAACACGGCACGAGCAGCTGTATCGATGGATAGCTAAATGCAGATCCAATCGCGACGCAGGTATAACCGGAAAGTCGAGGCAAAAGTTTCGGCTTGTTAGTTTTGAGCTGGGATCGAACTCCTGTCCGAAGTTCTACGGGAGCATTATGCGTGTTGCTTTCGCTTCTGCTCTTCTATCCGTCATCTCTTGATTGCCTCAATTCTTTCGTCAAGCAACCTGCCCAATATACTGAGGAAGATGTTTTCATCTTGTACGTCATCATCGAGCGCGTCATTCAGAATTTCAAATTCGTCCTTGTCATCTTCGGCGCCCATGAATGAAGATGTTGGAGATCGCGAAGCATTTTGTTCGATCATCATTTTGTGACCGTTGGATGGAGCACTTGCTGGCGTCGCTATTGACCCAGCAAATCCGTTTCCCGCGTGCTTGACAGCATCTGAGAGAGCATGCGAAGCCATTTCGTCCCAATGAAGCGAAAATCGCTGTTTACCGCTTGCATTGAATGTGTGTCTTCCGCCAGCATTGGATGTTGAAAATTTGGCGCACTCCTGGGTGTCTTCGTCTTCTTCATCTGAGCTAAATGGGGCATAGCTTGCCCAGAAACCAGGGGGAGATTGAGCACCACTAGCGACAGGGGAACACCCAATCGATAATGACCCTCGGAGTGAAGGAGGGTCAATTGACACTCTCAGATTCCGAAACGGCGCTCGTGGTGACGCTGGTATTACAATTGGTGTAGTCATTGGATCTTCTGCAATAGTCGGATCGCTAGTCTTGGTGACAGGTGTTATAGTTGGTTGCAAGTTGGCGTGGTGAAATATGACGCCGTTCTGCTTGCGCTGCTTGACAACCTGCAGCTGATGAAATGCCTCAGTGCACATCTGCTCGAGCGTGGAAGGTGTATCTAGATCTTCACGACACATGATGCGAGCAATGTCGAACAACACGAGGTCTGCACGAACGCCCTTCTGCACTATCATACATGCGATGATCATGTTGCGCCGACACCCTCGTCTCAACGGGATCCTTTTCGCTAACCGATCTGCGTCTTCCTCGGCTGATAATGACAACACATAGGCTCGGTCCTCTGCACTCAGAGGTTTTTTAAGCTGCGGCCAATTATACCAGCACCAATCGCACCATCCAATCTCCAGAAACTGTGGTAAGCAGTAACCGTGGTCAATCGGTATCAGCTCGTACTCCGCATGGCCCGTGGCGGGTGACCGCCGTTTGCGCACAAGAATGTTTGCGTCGTTCCGGTCCGTGTTCAACAGCCGCATGTCCAACACAACAATCTTGTGGACTTGATGGGTCGAAAACTGGTTTGGTGCGAGATCACTTACCACATCATCATGTCGTACAAATTCCTGCAGCGACCCTACCTTGAAATGCAAGGCACCCGCACTGCCTGTATAGTTGAACACGGGGTGCCGAGACTCCACGAGAGATGTAGCTGGAACTCCGGCAAAGTGGTCCTAGTTGCCGATTTGCATAGAACAGAAACAAGAAAATTAATTCATCTCGTGACAGTATTGCTGCGAAACACATCCTCAGCTGCGGTATACCTTGTCCAGTACATAGGCGGCAAGCTCACGCTCGCAAGCTTCTCCAGACAAAATCCCCCGACGAAGTCCACTCTGTTAGTTCAGTTCAAAACCGTTAGTATACAATATGTCCATAAAGCAACAGCGTTTGCATTGCCGGGCATGAATCTTAACGCACCTGACCCAGTTGTCCCACCAATCCGCGCGGATTATTAGGCCCGAACGGCTCTTCATCTTGAGGTTTGAAGCAGCCCACGTTGCGGTGGGATGGATCCTTAAAGAAGTACGTGCCGCCAGTTCCGTCCATTGCCAACACTGGTGCAAGACCCAACGCGAGACCTTGTAGTGCCTTCGCGAATATATCCACATGACGCATTCATCAGATTAAGGGGATCACGCATGTACTAGTAGTAGTATAGCACAGTTAGAACATACCTGGTGCGTGATCTTCATAAGTGCGACTGGCAGCAGATGCGCACCGTACGGGTGGATATTTACGACAGGCATTTGCTCTGGCCGCAAATTCTGCGACGCTTTGCCGTTCACGCGCGAAGGTACTGACTTTTTTAAGATGGCCCCCTCGCCATTGTTCCTGCCACTACTCACATTACTAACACGCCCGTCGTCACACTCGTGCGTGTAAGCCATCGCCAGGTTTTGCGGCCTGCGCGCTACAAAGTCTACGACAGCATTGTCCTGATATATGCCGCACTGCTGTAAATTGTGCGCGTTCTTAAGCTCTCGCCCCTGGTAAAAAAGCTTCTGGGCGTTGGACGGTACGTTGAACACGACTTGCAACTGATCCTTGACGTCCTTGATGCTTGCCCACGGACGCAACATAAGTTTCTTGCGGCGCTCGAGTGGGTCGCGAAAGTCTTTGACAAATACTACAACAGCTCCGTGACCGCTTTCCAGCCACCCGCCGGGTAGCGAGCGCGACATTTTGGCCTCATCCTTCTGCATTGTTGGCCCGCTCAAGCGTTCGTTGTGGTCTGTCGTGGGCGTCTCCTGAACCTGAAGGAGTCCTGATAGACTGCTTTGCTTCGTGACTGTAATTATTATTTTCAGCCAATTGGACGGATCGCAGCACTTTTTTCCTGTAACCCAGTTGATATTTAATTGATATTGATTGGTCGTCAATAGATTTTCGCCAATCAAACGAAAAAAGTTTAAAAAAAGTTTTAATTGGTCTAAAACCCGTTCATTTGAGCAACATATGGTATCATGGACTGGGAGGAGTGAACAGCATTGGGAGAATGAGTGACGGGGTCACACAGCACCTTGCACAAGATCAAAAATCGCGTAGAATAAATAACGGAAATGCTACAGTCCATGCGTCAAATCCGCTTATTTTCCATGTAATACTCCATGTAATGTCCATGATGTAAAATATTTTCATTCGGTAATTTATAAAAACAACCCAGTCGTTGAGTGCAATTATTGTCCAACTCTCATCCGTGTATTGTCCACGATGTGATCTATGTAGTTAATACCGGTACAATACTGTATACCGGTAGCTGTACCAATCACACCAGCCTTTCATTTGCCAAACTCGCCCCCCTTCGAGCATTGCCGCCGCCGCCGCTCCGTTACCTGCACGCCGCAGCCTACGTCACGAGATCAACCGTTGCTGCAATCGCCGGCCATGTCGCTCAGTCTACCCGCTTCCGCGACGTCTGAGGTGCGTTATCTTGCTGTTTGTGGTCTCTGTGAACGTGTTTCTAACCGTGCGTTATCTATTTGCAAATACAGGGTGGACCGTCCGACTCCTCTTCAGATATCGACACCACGGCTTCCGCAGCCTCCGGCGCGGCTGCAAACTCGGACGACGCCTCGCCTGACACGGACGATTTCAAGCGTCCATGTATTGTCCAGGTCGTAGACTCTCCCTCCCTTGTGGAGGGCCCCGCAGACGTGACGTATCCGAGCTGGTCGGCGTGGAATGAGTATTTGAAGGCTTACTCGGTAAAGTCCCGCCAGGTCATCCGCATCCAGTCAACGCTTAGTTGCGTATTGAGAAACAAGCGGCTAGGTCAAACAGCGGCAGCAAAGCAGGGAATGGATGTTCCGTACGTACCAGAGACGTGGGGTGCTTACCAACGCACATACATCTGCACACATGGCTGGCCAGCAAAAGACAGGAGCAGCGGATTGCGAACCAAGCACTTCGTCCGAGGATGCGGTTGTCCATTTCGATTTGTGGTGCAGCTCGTGCAAGTTGACGGCTTATGCTGCCTTCGCGTGAAGAACGGTGTGTACCAGCACAACCATGCGGTGGGGACAGCGCAGTTCAAGACGTACGCGGAGAACCGTAGGTTGGACGACACGGACACGAAGGATGCTGTGGACAGCATGGTGATGTACGGTAGAAAGCGCGCACGCATCTATGAGTATCTTCTGGGGAGAGGCGAGAACCTCGTCAAGAAGGATGTGGACAACATTGTGCAACGTGTTAAAGCAGAGATAAGAGGAGGGTTGAATGACGACGACGCTTGCGCCGCAACTCTCGCGGAATTCGCAGCTATTGACGGTAACGTAGTCACGGTGGACGAAACTGATGCGGGACACTCTGGTGTGATCAGTATGACTTCCAGACATATGCGCGACATGGTTACTAGGTTTCCAGAGCTTTTGCTTGTGGACTGTACCCACAAAACGAATCGGTAAGTCCTCCCATGTATTGTGCAATTATTTGTCCATGTATTGTCCATGCTTATTTTAATGTCATGCCCATGTATTGCGCGATTCTTGTCCATGTAATGTGCATTAGATACAACTACCAGCTTTGTACCTTCATGATGATAGACGACAATGGGCGTGGGCAGCCTGTACAACAGTCTTTGCTCGAACGAAACGCCGATTGGCAGATGTCCCGAGCGCTGGATCATCTATTTCGGATTGACGATAAGATTGGCGACAAGGTTCAAGTTATAATGGTCGACAAAGATCTGAATGAGATCCGCGTGTTGCGTCGGTACTTCCCTAAGTCGCGCGTGTTGATTTGCGTCTTTCACGTCATCAAATATCTCCGCGCAGCGTCCAGGAAGCCAGAATATGGTAAACTTTCGTCGGACGATCACGACGCCATCGACGCATTAGTCCACAACATGGTATATGCCTTAAGTTCAGAGATCTACGAGACCAATTGGACCTCCATGAAGGCACTTTGCACTAGGACTGGATATATGGCATTTTACAACTACATGGATGAAAACTGGAACACTTGTACGGAGATGTGGGTCATGTACCAACGCTCACGGCTGGCACATTTGCGCGTCCACACGAACAACCATTTAGAGAATTGGTTTGGGCATTTTAAGGACGGGGTAAACTCCAACATGACCATGCCGGACACCGTGAAGGCCCTTGTGGGTGCTGATGCCAGGACTTTCAGTGAATACGTGTTCGACAAGACTAGGATCGGGTTACGTGTCAACCGCAACTACGACGAGGAGATGTGCCAAGTTTTGCGCTTTACGACGCATTTCGTAGCAACACACGTGGAGAAGGAGTACGTAATGGCATGTTCGAAGGTCGACAAGTTCAATTTCGACTTAAAGTCAAATCCAGGCTTCGTGGAGGTGACGGGTAAACACAAGACGCATACTGTGGATTTGAAAACGTGGAGCTGCACTTGCTCGTTTGCTTCTGCAATGCGTCTGCCTTGTCAACACGCGATCGCGTTTCGGAAGTGGAGTAACGCCCCAGGAAGCGTAATACCGCTGAGTTGCATCGATGAAAGGTGGGTTAACTCACAATTTATCCACGTATAAGCCGTGAGTTGTCCATGTAATATCCAATATTGATGTTGTACTGAGGGTCTGACATGTCATTCATTTAGATGGTTACATCCTGCTGAACAACCGATGACTCCGCGGCCTTTTGTGCTTAATGAGTTTAAACCAGGGGAGGCGAAACACAAGGTGCTTGACGCTAATGTCAAGTACAAGGAGGCAGTCAGCGCGTTCCAGGCTATATGCAGTGAGCTAGCCGATATCTCTGATGACGACGAGTACCGTGAGCATTTAGACTTCGTCGTGCAACAATGGAGGAACATTAGGCAGCGCAAACGTGTAAAGGTTGAAAAAAAGAAGGTTCCAGTCACGAGAGAAGAAACAGAAACAGATGAAGTGACCTCTCCAGTGACAACCAGCCGAAATCGAACCGGAACCAAGCCCGAAATGGAGCAGCTTGCGCTTGAGACCACTCCTGATGACAACGAAGAGAAAAATACTGATAGTGGATTGCGCATCCGTCTGAACCCCAAAGCTGCGAAGTCTGGTAGGCCCCGGCTGAACAGAAAGGAGAGAGAAGCAGACGACAAGAAGAAACGAGCGTTGTTTAACGAGTCAGAAGCCCATAGAAGATGTCTTGGAGAGGTGACATTAATACAACTTGCGCGCAGTCTTCAACTTGAGAAGCCTCCACTTCAAGACACTCTACGTCGTGTTCTGCCACTCCAAACCAAGTACAACAACGCCGGTAGCAAGAAACCCAAGTACACTAGAGAGAGAGTGCGCCTGTGCTGAATGAAAACGCGTTCTACCTACTTCCACCCAAACTGTTGGACAAGTGCGTTGCCGTGCTGCCTGTGAGCAACACCAATGAAACAGCCATCGATGTACTCACCCAGAGTCAAACTACACAAAAAGACGAAGAAACATCTACAATACCTGGACAAATCATGGACAGCAACGGACAAAACCCGGAGATCGAGTGTGTCTACATCGCGGGTATCGGAACATTTTCACGCGAACAGATTGAGGCCATGGCATACTTAGCAAACGTGAAGCGTTCGTGTGATGATGGAATGGCGTTTACCAAATGGTTAACACAGGATGCAGCCAGCGCCATACCAGCAGCACAACAATCGACACTTCAGAGCATGGCAGAGGCCATTGCTCGCGCCTATCCCCAAGATACAATCCCAATTGACGGCAACGGTTACCACTACGCGATGCTGTACCGTCTCAAGCCGCCCCAATGGGCTAATGATGCGCTGATTTTGGCTTTTTGCGCGAGATTGTACAGGACGGGCACCGGCGTTCGCATCGTCGGTGTCGAGGCAGCCTCGGCGTCAAAGAAGAAGAAATCTATGAGTGAAAAAATGAAGACAAAGGTTCAGGAACTACTCACTGAAGCGGATGTACTGCTCATTCCTGTAAATTTTGGGAACATGCATTGGTGTGCAATGATCGTGGATGGCAAGCAGAACAATGTCCTGTACTACGACTCAATGAACCTGAAGACGTACAAGGACGTACTGGACCGCATGTCGTGGGATCTGGCTACTACGCTCAGCGACGACTTCAAAGTTGTGTCCGTCAATGGACCGATCCAGACAGACGGATACAACTGCGGATTCTACGTAATGTTGAGGTTTTGGCGATATGTAGACAAGAGTGTGCCGCTGGACGTAACTCCGATTGGTCTTACGCTGTTACGCTTCCGCATCCTTCACTTCGTGCTTCACGGTAGCAAGCCATAATGCAACTAATACAATCTCATTTCTATTGAAACTGGAATCGACCCGCCTAATGTTCATGCGTATGGTTGACCTCCTGACTTCTGTATACCGGTATGTACGAGAGATGTCAGAGGACTTTCGTTTGCGAAGGTCTAACAATATCCATTCACTATGGATTTTAAAAACAGTGGTAAGTAATTTATTTCGACACATGGACATTACATGGAGTATTACATGGAAAATAAACTGAGTCGACGCATGGACTGTAGCATCGGCCAATAAATAAATCAAAAAGTTACATTTTTCAAAAGCAAATAGTCAATTATTTTGGAAAGTTTTTTGTATTGTAAATTTGTTTTATTCGCGGTTCAGTGCTCGCAGTCGCCGTTCGAGCTGGTAGAGGGTGATTGGTGATGTTGAAATACAGCCACCCGGTCTCTGTAGCAGTAGCTTGTCCAGTACTTCGATGAGAGAGTCGTGTTTCAACGAAATGCTCCACTTACGACGCAAATAATACGTCCTATTTTGAATTTTGCGACGC